CTCAGCACCACATACAAACAAAGATGTTGCGTCCGCCGAAAACTAAAAAATAAATATTAAAAAAAATTTTCTCTCTCTCTCTCTCTTTAAAAAAAATCACACTGTGCCCCATAAATTGTATAATTAACAATATAATTGTATAATTAACAATTAAATTGTATCAATTAACAATTAAATAAAATAACAAAATTATTCTTTAAAATGTCTCTGGAGTTGAAGCCCATCCTTCTCTTTCCTCTACCCTTGTCCATCTTTTCCGTAGTGCATAGAAGAAACCTAACAACAGGGACTCCAAGAGCTAATACTTATTGAGAAGATTCAATTTCCCCAAATAACTGAGAGAGTACCACCATTAACCCATCTTACAGATGAAGAAACAGATGCTCAGATTAGCAAGTTGGCTCAGATCTCCGAGCCACCAAAAAGTTGGATTCAAGATATGAATCTAGACCCTGCAACTCAAAAATCTTGAACTAACCACCATGCCATGTGGATTTGAGACTAATCAGAAAAAAAAGGGTTTTGTCCAACTGGTGGAACCTGCACTTATCAAACATAACATACATACCTAAAAGTATGGGACTCATGTGTATTCTCCAGTGAATTATCTAAAAAGAACCAGTAGCCTCAGAAACAGAACATTACCAACCCTCCAGCAGCCACCCTTAAGTACCCTCTTAGGTCATTTCCCTGTCTTCCCCAATGCCATCAAATAGTTTATCTTAAGTTGGTTTATCTTTTTAAAAATGTTTATTTAAATGAGATCACACACATTAGATCTTTTATGTTGGACTTCTTTCATTATGTTTGTGAATTCCATACATTTTTTGGGGGGGTAGGGGAGCCACATCCATGAGAATTGCCATTTATTCCCAAAGTTCCCCAAATCATCACCAAGAGTTCACCACRGGGTGCAAAGGGGGAACGAGGAGGCTCAAACACTGATGAGGGTCAGGAATTTGGAGGGAGGGGGAATGGTGGGGGGAACCTTCTTCTAATGCCACAGAAAGGGGTCCTCCTCTGGCTGGCTCCCCRTCCCATCCCCCATGCCAGTTTCTCTGGGGAAAATGGGTTGGAGATGTGAGAAGAGGGCATAGTGTGAGTAGACCCCACAACGGGGAAGGGCGCTGGGGTAGGAGTGCCCCCATTTCACAGCACTCACAACACTGTCTCCCAGGGAACAGGAGTTGGGGGAAGTCGGCCAGGCCAGGTCGGCCTCCTGCCCTGGATTATAGGAGGAAGAGGTTAGTGTTGGGTGCTGGGGGACCGGGGGACATCATTGGGGGCAGACCAGGGCCCCCACCAAGGGGAGAGATGTAGGTGGGTGATGCTCCAGGGGCTGGGGGCACAGGGCTGAGAGGTTCCACTTTTCGAGAAGGGACTGGAAGCCTTGGCTCTTGGAGGAGTGGGGCTGGGTGGGCTCACCAAAGAGTCCAGATCAACGAGGGCTGCATTGGGGCCCAGGAAGGATTCTGGCGTCTTCCGTGTGGGGGTGTGGGGGTTGGGGCAGTGGCAGGTGGGGCACTTCCCACAGCCTCAGCCAGAGACCCACCAACCCCACTCATGTCATACGCCCAGGGCTGCTGGCGGGCACCTCTCCTGCAAGCAGCTCCAGCTCCTCTGTGCTACTCCCAGAGGCTGGCAGGGCTGTGGGAGTCAGTCCAAGTCTAAGAATTCATCAGGCTCTGGGTCAAAGCCTCCAGCTGCTGCGGTGCCATTGGTGCTGGGTTTTGCAAGTGACCCCCCCTCCTCCCAGGGGTCAGAGAATGCAGGTGCAGGAGCCCAGGGATCAGAAGCTGGTGATCCACCATCAGAGCTTCCCCATGGGTCAGGCATGGGGCCCTCTCCAGCTGCAGGGCTGGGGTCCCACCCCAAGGGTCAACAGAGGGTCCCACAGGGGCAGCAGGCCTCCAGGGATCCCCAGAGGCTGGTGTGGGGGCTGGACCACCCCAAGGATCAGCAGCTGGAGGGACAACAGGTCCCCCCAGGGGTCTGAGGCAGGGGGCAGTGGGGATGGGGGCAGCCATGGGTGCTGGGCGCCCCCATGGGTCTGAAGCCGGTGGAGGGGCCGGGCCCTGAAGACATCAGCAAGATCCATGAGAGATGACTCCTCCTTGCCTCCAGTCTCCCTCTTGCTCTCCTCCATTGCCATCTGCAGCCTTAGGTCGTTCCCCACGACGGATTCTCTCTTMCTTATCGTGCTCCCGGCTCAAACTAAGGGCCAGCTGGAGCTGGACGTCATCCTCGGGGCGCAGGACGGGGGCTGGTCAGCCTCCTCCTTGCTCATGGCCAGGGCCAGCTGSAGCTGCAGCTCTTCCTCCCCTCTGCTCTGCGGCCAGGCCTGCTCSGCTTCAGGCGGSGGCCCGGAGCCCACTGCTGCTGAGGAGGCCACGGCRGTCTGTGCAAGCTTCTCCTTGGTCTCGAGTGGGTGGGCACGCTCCTCCTCAAAGCAGCAGGGCCACCAGCTAGCTGCTTGGCCTTCTCACTCACATTCACGCGCTGGTCCTTGCCATCACGGTCCACGTGCTGGAGTCCTTCAGCGTTCGCACAGCACACATGTTCTCCTGGCACTGCTGGGACACACCTCTGAGCCGGTCTTGGTGAGGTACTCCATAAGGGTCATGGCCTTGTAAACGTGCCGCCAGTTCTTGCCCTGGTCATTGAGCCGCTTCCAGATCATGCTCATCATCTCCGAGAAGGCCACAGCATTATAGGGGAGGTCGGGGATCTCAGACTTGAGAGAGCTGGATGGGCCCCAGGGATCATAGCTCGTGGCCTCATGGACCTTGATCTCCACCTCCGAGTAGTTGTGGACAATGTTCTTCATCTGGCGCCCTAGGGACGAGGTCCACTTGGTGCCCAGCGGTGGTGTCAGGGGCGTCAAGGGGCGTGGAGAGATGGGGCAACTCACAGATGGAGGCTGCAGCAGATACTGGCAGACTGCTGCATCTTGGCCCCTCACGCGGGGCTCCGGGGGGTCATGGCGGTCAGCCCCCTGCCCCCACTCGGTGTCACGGGGCGCGCGCCGGCTGCAGGTGGCGGAGGGTCGCAGCTGCGCACACGCACCGAGAGCCCCAAACCCAAGGCCCCGCGCCCTGGCGCCTGTGGAGCAGACAGGAAGCAACCTGAATTCCATACATTTTTAAATATGAGTATATTTTATTTCTGTGTAGTWTTCCATTATTTGAAAACATAATCCATTTTGTTTATCCTTTTTAGTATTGAACCACATTGTTGGGTTTTTTTTTTTTTTCCAATTTGGGACTATATCTATAATGTTTTTGACCATTCTTTTGCATGGTGAACATATGTAGRTATTTCTCTTGGGCATATACTTAAGATTGGAATTGTTGGGTCATAGAGTCTGTACCTGTATATCTTTAGAAGAAACCATTAAAGAATTTCTTAAAGTGGTTATAACAGTTTTCACAACCACAGTGCACAAAAGTGCTAGTGGCTCTGAATCCTCCTCAACACTTGATAGTGTCACCAGTTTTCATGGTAGCCATTATGTGGTGGTATAACAGCAYGGTTTTAATTTGTGTCTTCTGATGTGTTATAACGTGAAGCACCTTTTCTTGTACTTGTTAGCCACTTGGATATCTTTCTGTGAAAATGACATCTGTTTAAGTCAKCTTCCTGTCACTGTAACAAAATATCTAAAATAATTAACTTATAAAGAACAGAGGTTTCTWTTGGCTCATGTTTTTGGAGGKTCTAGTCCACAGTCAAGTGGCCCATTGCCTTGGGCCTCCAAGAAAGCAGCACAAATGGTGGGAGCAAATGGTGACACCCACTCCATCTGGTAAGAAACAGAGAGAAGAGACCCAGGTCCCACAGTCCCCTTGAAGGCACACCCCAGATGACCTAAGGATCTCCCACTAGGCCTCACCAAAGGTGACACCCTGGAGAACAAGGCTTTAATACATGAACCTTTAGGAGACACAACCCATATTCAAGTCACAGCAACCTACAAAGTCAAGTCTTTTGCTTTTAAGAGTTTAGGATAAGATAGAGACTAGCTTCAGAGTGTTCATATTTATTAACTCACTTTATCCTTAAAATAATTTTGGCCGCTAGGAGTATTATCTTACGGGGTTTCTTTTTATAGATAAGAAAAGTGAATGAAGAAGGGCAAATAATTTGGCCAATGTCAAACAGCTTCAAAGTGTGGTATGGGAGTCCTTGTTTTTTTGTTGCTAAATGCAGAATGGCAAAGCTTGGTTGTGGAGATCAAGCTAAAAGAGAGAACTCTGGCAAATAGACCTAGCCACAGGACGGAGTTTACACCACGTAGTTAATAATGGTCTGGGACTCATGTGATGGATGGGGATCTTCCTCTACAATGTTGGTGGGGTCCTCAGGGCACTTTCCCAGGCTCATGAGGGACTTTGAATGGTTGATCAAACTTTACACAGATCTTGGGTCATCAGATACTTTATGCTTGAGCATTAAAAATTTGGGCAAGTTCTGGACTCTGCACAAAAACAAATGTCCAAGCCTACTGACCCRGCATCTGTGGGTGGTTGGAGTGGTCCTAACCAACCCATGGCACCCCGCACCCCCATATGCGTCAAAGTTCACCCTCATTACACATGCTGGGGCATGTCTGCTTACACCACTTTGGTCTTAGTGTCCCCTGCCCGAAATGCCTGCCTACCCCGTCTCTGCTTCCTCAGACAGGTGGTTTACCCAGGTGATCCACCCTGGWCAGAGAGAGTCTGAGCATCTTCTCTGCAAGCAAGGCCCAGGTCAGCTCTGATCCACTCCTCACCCCAGCTGCCATRGGACAGAGTGCTCTGTGCCTGCTCATCTTCCCAGGTGTTCGGTTTCCTTCTCTCCCACCACCCTAAAGACTGGAAAGAAGAAAGCAATGAGGACCCCACGGAATTGAGGACCACGCTCTGTTCTAGGAAATCAAAGTTTTATGATGTAAACATTTTACCACCTTCTTCAGTGACAAAGTTCTGCCTTGGAGTCAAGCTTTGGGCTTCTTAACAGGTAACTTCCCAAGGTCGCCTACCAATGGTGGATAGTAGAAGTATCCGTGGATAAAGTTTGCTCAACAAACTTCTCTTTAGTATTTTATCTTTTTTTTTTTTTCATAAAAGAGCGAAATAGTCCTGAAACTTCGACCTTCAGTCCAGGTGGCCATGCCACAATGCTGTCTGCCATGTGCATGGACAGTGCCTGTGCCGCCCCCTCCCATCACAGGGAACAGCTGCTGGTTAGCCTGAGCCTTCTCTCAGGAGCAGAYGACCTGACCTGGCCTCGGAGCAGATGTGGGTAGCCAGTGTTAGCTCTCTGAGCACGTCAACAGAATCTGGGTAAACTCCTGGGAACCATGTCCTGATTTTGATTTTCTGAGCATGATGAGTCTGGGGTTGTTGATCAGGGTCTGCAGCAGGCGCCACCTCGTCCTGGACCTAGCTGAGATGCGGGGACCTAGGATAGAATCAGAGCAGATGGACCACAGCATGGGAGGCGGGGTGGTTGGTTGGAAGTTTGCCTCTGCCGTTCTCAAAGGGTTTTGGAAGAGCTGCCTTCAGTGTGAGAGATATGGTAAAGGAGCTGGTTTGGGACTTGTGTGGACATGAGGGAGRTGAGTCATCCCATGGTCCTGGATCCCCACAGTGTTTGGAATAGCAATGAACATACAGGGGCGGCCCAGAGCACTTGTGAGAAACCACAGAGCAGAATAACCCAGACTGAAGCCCACCTTGGCAGGCACCTGGCATGTAGCCTGGAATATGAGTTGGAATCTCAAACAAATGGGATCTGGAAGACTCCACTAGCAGAACTAGAGCTCATTTCCAGGAACAACGGTGGAGGCCAGTCAGCAGGACAAGGACATAAAGCTTGAGTGGGTCCCATAGTTGGCTAAGCCTCCCAAGCTCCCTGGATGAAGGACACCCAGGACACAGAGTGCAGAGAAAAAGGGRCAGGAAAGAGAAAACCTGGAGCATCTCAGGGACCTCAGGGAGCCTCAGGGGGTTCATTTCCTGCTCCTTGAACCCAGTGAGGTTCAAGCAGGAGACATTACCTGCTGATTGGTCCAGGCACCAGTATTTGATGGCCTTCTGCAGCTTCCTCTCCCTGTGGCCTGTGAGCAGGATGTGGCAAAAGCTGACGAGCACGGGGTTGGTGTGATAATGGTCCACATAGAGCATGCCGATCCACGCGCTGAACCCTGAAACCCAGCGGCAGATCAGGCCAGGCCACACCTCCCGGCATGGCCCAGTTGGTGCTTTTAATGATAAGCTCCAGGGGTGCCTGAGTCTTTGCTGAGAATTTAGAAAATGAGGTATAACGATCTGAAAGGAGGCTTTRAGATCATATCCTAATCTGTTTCACCTTCTGGAGAACTTGAAGCTCCAGGAGGCCAGCAGCAGCCTAGCAACAACCGAGAAAGCCTTGGTTACAGGCCCCGAAGGGCAGAGAGACTGAGTGATCGTGGCCTAAAAGCAGAACAAAAACTTTGCTTCTTCAGGAACGGCTTTGATTTGGGAGTGTCCGACTGAACAGAATATTTTCTTCATCAAATAAGTTCCGATGAACAACAATAATGATTCTGAGATGTGGTCTTTCTCAAAATCTTCAGGACTGTATATTTATAAATTAACTTCTCACTTTCAGAAAGAATTTTGCTTACCTCTGACTATTGCCTTTTCTTTATATCGGAAATGTCTGCTAAAGAGGCAGGATTGAATAGCCCTGAACTCCCTGTGACCATGGGGCAGCATGTATTTCTATTGCTCAGCTTTACGGTCTCCACTGAGGATAAACTCTGAGCATAAGTGAAGGTACACTCCAGGCTTCTCATACCTGTCTTGTCTTTCCAGACAGCCATCAAGAAATTGCAAGTCCAGCCCTCCCCAGAGGAGGTAGCCAGCAGGGGCTGGTCACTCACCCATGTCTGCTCCCTCATAGCCACTCTGCATGATGGTCCTGTCGATGCGCGCAATCAGCCATGTGCCCAGGATGCAACTGATGAGCAACCTGGAGAGGCAGGCGCCCAGGCCCAGCAGCACGTTGTAGAAGAACAGGAAATAGTTGAAGTTGTGGAAGGCTTTCCTACACACAGAAACAAGATGGTTAGGCAGGCGGGCTCTGGAGTCCTCCATAGCCAGCATCAAACCCTGAGGGCTGGGGGCATAGCTTAGGGGTAGAGCGCTTGCCTCGCATGCATGAAGCCCTGGGTTCAATCTCCAGCACTTCAAAACCCTATGACTCTGCCTCCTAGCCTTGTGCTCTCACGCTATGCTGTAGGGGAAGCTGAGTCCCCATTTCCCAGCCCTGGACAGTACAGAAGGCACAGGGCAGAACCTAAGACAAATGTTGGGGGGACTGTATTTGATTTATGTGATCCTTAGGGTGTGAGGAAATCTCATGGTGCTACAGCTGGTGCAAGGGCTGTCCCAGCTGGTGGGGCTTCCCCCCATCTGTTGCAACTAGGACCTGCCCCAGCTAGAGCTGTTTCCAGTCCCCCAGAGGAAATTTCCAGAGGGTCACTGGATCTCATGGTTCCTGTTGTCTCTGAGATAAAACCCAAAYTTTGCATTCTGAGTGTCAGGTCCCCCTCAGAGAGGACATCTCTTGGTCTTGTCATTTTGTGTCTCCTTCCTGTCGCACAGCATCTAAGACCCCTGTATGGTGACAGTTTTAGATCTTCAGTTTCCTAACACACCCTGCTTTTGGGGTCTCCCTGCCTACAGTCATGCTGTGATAGCTGCTGGCCATGYCCTCTACTATAAGTGCAGAAATTCTACCATCCTACTCAAACTTCCCATCTGCAGTGCAATTACCACCCTCTCCCCACCCTTCAACCCCAGCTCCTCCCCCTCCACCTATGCCTCTCCTCCTCCATTGACCATGTTTCATCATTTTGCACCCTCTGGGGTCTGCTGCCCTTGTTGCCTGTGTGCCTGTCTGTTCTGATGGGCTGTGAGCTTCTAGGCAGGTGGTGTCAGGATTCTCTCTTTCCCTTCAGTGCCCAGGTTTCCCCAATTAGAATCAGCAAGGGTCACCAGGAGCTGGGCACTGTTGTTCCAGGTCCATTTTAACCTTATAACACGTTGTTAAGATACTCAAAATGATTTATAAGGGGGAAACTGAGGTTCATAGATGTTTAGTAAGCTCACACAAGGTCACAGGGCTCCTAAGGGRTGAGCCGGGATTGGGGGCCAAGCATTCTGACTCCAGAGCTTAGCCCTGCCCACTATATCACCTCTCAGAGTATAGAGAGGCCCTGGAACCTGCCAAGGGTGAAGGGGAAGGACTGGGAGACAGCCCAAGCCCAGCCATGTCCCCATTCCYCTTCATCTCACCTGTTATTGAGAGCCAAGGGCTTCTGCTTGTCCCCTGGGCCCAGCTTGGGCTGCAGGAAGAAGCTGGCGGCAATCCACATCTGCAGGATCATGAGGCCCAAGATGATGGAGATGGTGAGGCTGAAACACAGGGCAAGCAGCCTGAGGTGGCCTTCCCTGCTCTTTTAGGCCCATCTCAGATGTCCAGAGATAGGAGGAGAGAGAGGCTGGCCACCCAGAGTGTGAGCTCCATGCTTCATGCTCGGGAGCCATCCTATGCCCACCGCGCAGGTGAGGAACAGAGGCTCAAACGTGGGAGGTGGCTTTACCAAGGCCCCACGGCCAGAGCTTCTGGCTCCAGATCATAACCCATGGCTCTCAACGATGTCCCTTCTTACCAGGAGTGGCAGCCGGCGAGTGGCTTGACAGTTTGAGAATGAGAGAAAGAAAAGGTGCTTGGGAAGAGCCTGAGAAGCCGTGGGAAAGTGCACAAGGTGGGCTCCAACCCAGACTCTCATGGGGCTCTGGTAGGGAGGTCCCCAGAGTGTCACGTGCTATGTTGACACTCCTGAGTGACAGTGTGAGGTCATGGTAAGAAGCCTTTGGTTTCAGATTGCCTGGCCCCCGATGCTGTATCCTCCCTCTCTTTGGATAGAGCACTTGGTTGCTCTGTGACTGTTTTCTGGACTGTGCATAAGCACCAAACTCACAGAGCTGACATGAGGAAAGACACATAGTAAATGCTCAAGGATACCAGCATTCACCGTTTTCCAGATGGGTAAACTGAGGCTCAGAGAAGGGGAGGCATTTGCCCCAAGTCACACAGCACATCTAAAAATTTAGCCAGAATTATTCCCTGCCTCCTTCCATCATGCTGTCCTGTCTCTCCCTCACCTCCTGAGTACCCAGTTTTCCCAGATGGAAAATGCACATCATCTCTCTCTCTCTCTGTCTCTCTCTCTCTCTCACACACACACACACACACACACACACACACACACACACACACACACACACACACACACACACACACACACTTATAAAGGCTCATTGTAACGGTGAGAGAGAAAGCTTTTTTCAAACTGGAAGTTTCCCTTCCTGGTCAGTTGAGGTGAGGGCCCAAGATCAGGGGCCCAGGGATTGGCTCTCAGGACTCAGGGAGGACAGGCCACCCACCCAGCACTTACATCCCAAGTCCCAGCCTTCGGAGCATCTCCAGGCCCCTGTGGTGGGTGACAGGCAGCACCAGGCCATACATGATCATCAGGCCACACAGGCTCTGCATCACATGGATGATGAGGTAGCCTGGGGACAGGGGAGTAAGGCTCACTTGGGGGTCACCATGATCTGCCCCCGTGTCTTCCCGGCAGTCCACCCGGGGCCCTGGCATGGTTGCTGATGCTATTCCTGCTGCCTGGCATGGCCTCCCCTGTCTTCCCACTCTTTTCTTCCCACCTGCAGACTCCCCTAGAGAGCCTCGGAGCCCTGTCCTGGCTGGGGTCAGTCACTTCCTCCTCTGGTGATCKCGGACCTTAACATTCATGGCCTGTGAGTTCAGGACAGGCGGGGAGGGTGACAGGATGATGGACCTGTGTGTCTCTCCCCCATCCTGGAGGTCCCTTGAGGGCAGAAGCAGGGCTGCGTCCCACTCCCCTCTCCTCCCTCCCAGGAAACATGTGTTGGGTTGGACAGGCCCAGGTGGCACTTACCCCACAGGATGTAAGCTATCTGCCAGCCGGAGTACCTTGCAATGGCCACCTGAGATTCAGAAGGAAACAGTGACCTTGGAGCAGGAGAGAACCTTCGTGCCCTCTGACCCCCTTACCAGTCTCAGAGGTCCCCACAACCCAAAGAGGCAGGTTTGGGCTCAAGGCTCAGTCTCAGACTTACCACACTCTCGGACGGAGAAGGATTGTGGAACCGCAAAGGGAGAAAGTGTTTATCTCCTGCCCACAGCCTCTTCATGTGTTTTCTGGAGAAAAAGTGTGAAATAATTAAGTGATGCCCATAACCACGGCTCCTTTTGCATGACAGAGCTCCGTGGGCAGAAACAGAAAGGCCCAAGGACGTGGGGAACAAGAGGCCTGGACTCTGCTCCGTTCAGTACCAGCTCACAGCACCACGTGATCTGCCTTCCAAACCTACAAGTTTAATGTATTTTGTAAAAATGATTTTTATAATGACTGAGTCCTAATGGCAACTGAATCTGATCAACGCGTTGTGGGTGGCTTTTATTTTCCTTTTATTTTCTACGCTGTCATAGTTTGCAACGAGGAATATCTATTGCTTAGGTGATAAGATTCAAAGAACAGGTGAAAACAGAGACTGGTGGTGGGGCTGCTGCCCTTGTAACAATGCGGAGGGGAACAAGAGCCCGGTGGCCAGCGCCACCCACCCGCACAGACTGCTTCCTTTCCCTCGTGCTTCTCTAGGCCTTGGCCCTGGACATAGAGATCAGGCTGACATCGTCACAGTCCCACAGCACATTTGCGTTTGTGCTGCTTTTTATTTTAACTTAACATTTTACCTCCAGCATTTTTCCAGGACTTTTTTTTTTTTTTCACTTTTCATGATCACTAAGTTTGAAATTCTTAGAATAAAAAAAAGAATAGAAGAATCTCGTCAATAATTCTCATACTTATTACATTTTTAAATGAGAATATTTAGGCTATATTGAGATAAATAAACTGTATTATTAAATATGTGATGTAACTAGTCTCTTTTTACTTTTTTAATAGTGATACCAGAAATTTCAAATTTGCATGTATGACTTTCTTTTTCTTTTCTTTCTTTCTTTTTTTTTTTTTTTTTTTGGTAGCACTGGAGTTGTACACTACCACCACCAACACACACACACACACACACACACACACACACACACAGCATATATTTGCACTGTGCATAAGAAATTTCTGGAAAGATACATAGAAAACAGTTAACAGTAGATATCTGGGGGTAAGACCTTAGGAATCCAAGAGTGAGAAGACTTACTTTTACACTAAATGTTCTTCATAATACTTTTTTAAAGTGTCTACATGTAGCTTAGGATAATGCCAAGAGCAATTAATATGCTGGCACAGTGCTAGTGCCCTGAAGGATGTAGGGGGGTTTCTCACCCATAATTTCCTCTGCCCCACTGTCCTGATAAGAAGGCAAGGTCGTCCCTCCTGGAGGACTGGTGGAAGGCAAGGAGCCGCCTGAACTCCTCTCTCCAGATACCCTCTCCTCCCTCCTCTTGAGCCACCCTCCTCCAAATCCATCAGCCCCTCTGCAGTGTGGTTGCCCTTGGTTACACTCAGAGGTCTCACAGAATATCTCCAGCCACAGGTAGACCACCCACCAGGTCCACAGAGAAGAAAGCAGAGAGAGGGAGCAAGGCAGGGCTGGTGGAGAGCTGGGTCCCTTCATGCCAGGAGAATATTCTTGTGGGCTCCATCTGCAAGAGACCTGCCCTTTGGGTCTCTATGGTCTGTCAAATGGGGAGAATCTTAAGATATGATGCTTCAGAGATGCTCTCTATGGGCCTGTGGGGTTTGTGGGGAGAAAGATAGCAGCATATACCAAAACTGACGCCTGTAAGTAAATGCTTATGCATATTTAAGGCCATCCTCTCCTCCTGCTCTGTGCYCTGCTGTCCCTGCACTGTCATTCTTGAGACTGATGCTCCTGGTCCGCGTGACCCAAGTTCCACTGATGTCCCTTGATCTAGATTCACCTGTTGGGAGCCCACGGTTATCAACCTCAAATAGCCCAATAGGTCTGATGCTCAATGGAAATGCCAGATAACATCTTGTGGCCAGAAAGACTGAACCATCTGCTAATTGCTTGGGCATATTATTTAATTGCTGAGTCTCAGTTTTCTCAAAGCGTAAAAATGGAGACATTCAATGAGGATTTTAGCTTAATGCCTGTTCATCAGAGAAGTTCAAATCCATAGTTGAATTTTTTCTTCCTTCCTATCAAAAGATGTGGCTACCCTGGACATTGTATTCAATTCCTAGACACAGATTGGTATTGCAGGTACCGCTCCGGAGTTCTGAGAAGTCGGTGATAACATTCTGGCTAAAGTCACACAAATGACTCCCAGAGTCCTCTTACCTGTAACAGGCCAAAATATGGAACAGATAGCTCACACTCGTGAGAGATGCAGGCAAAATGGTAGCCACCCAGACTCCTGGAATATGAAAAGGGAGATGAGAGGCCTTGAAAAATAATCTTGGAATGAATCTAACTTGCTTTCAGAGAGATTCTATGCGTTAATGAGGGAGGGATGTAGGAATCAAGAGAGGAAGGTGACTTGTTGGTTTAAAAGGTTCTGAAGAAGCTAATCCTCAATAGGTGCAGGAAAAAATAGCATTTGACAAATCCAAATCTCTTTATGATTAAAAGCACTCAATGACCTAGTAATAGCAGGGAACTTCCTCAGCCTGATAAAGGGCATTTCCTGAAAACCCACAATAAGTATCAGACTTTATGGTGAAAGACTGAAAGTTTCCCTCAACATCAGGCACAAGATAAGCAATGTCAGCTCTTGTCAATTGTAGTCAGCATTGTACTGGAGGTTGTAGCCAGTGCAATTAGTCAAGAAAAAGAAAATAAAATGCAGGCTGGGGATGTGGCTCAARCGGTAGCGCGCTCGCCTGGCATGCATACGGCCCGGGTTCGAACCTCAGCACCACATACAAACAAAGATGTTGTGTCTGCCGAGAACTGAAAAATAAATATTAAAAATTTCAAAAAAAAAAAAGAAAAGAAAATGCATCCTGGTTGGAAAGGAAGAAGTAAAACTATCTCTATGCACAAATGACATGATCTTATATACAGGAAATCCTAGGGGATACACACAAAAAATTAGTAGAACTAATAAGTGAGTTCTGCAAAATTTTCAGGTTATAAGAATAATACATTAAGTATTATTACAATAATACATTAAGTAATAATATAATGAACAATCTGAAAATGAAGAAAACTATTGCATTTATAATAGTATCAAAAAGCATAACATACTTAAGAACAAACATAATGAAAGAATATACAACTTGTATACTGCAAACTACAAAAGATTTTGAAAGAAATTAAAGAAGATCTAAATTAATGAAAGGACATTTCTTGTTCACATATAGGATATTAGTTGTTATAGCAATATTCTCCAAATTGATCTACATACTCAAACTAATCTGTATGAAAATCCATATGCCATTTTGCATTAACAAAGCTAATCCTAAAAATCACTTACAATTAAGAGACCCAGAATAGTCAATATAATCTTGAGGAAGAATAAAATTACAGGACTCACTGTTCCTAATTTCAAACTTAGTACAAAACTACAGTAATAAAGTTAGTATAGAACTGGCAGAAAGATAAGCAAATGGATCAATGGAATAGAATTGAGTATCAAAAATAAACCATTATAGTTTATAGGTCAATCTATTATCAACACAATGGGGAGTTTCACCAATAAGACTTAGAATGGGTATTCCTGAATTAAAGGATAGCATATGCTCTCTGTGTTATGCCCAGGATCTCACCATGCTGATCATAAATCTGCACTGAAGATGAATGAAATGTTCAAGGGCAACAGTAAACTATGGGACTATGGAAGGAGCAGTACCTGCCTCAGCATCACCTGGAAGGTAACGTCCATGACATACCTGGRTGTAAAAGAGTAATTCATATCAAGGCCCTCCTCCCCCAAGTTTTATATTCTCCCAGCTCATGCGTCTTAAGTGGGGCGGGGARTCACTTGCCACATCTGTTTCATGAGTTAGGGAACATTAGCCATTAAATATCAGAGTCCTAAAAGTTTTTGCAAACCATTTAGCAAGTCACTACAAGCCCCACTCTGCAGATGAGGAAATCGAGGCCAAGAGAAGGGTTCCAACTTGTTCTGCAGCAAGGACAAGTTTATCCTGACGCCTTGTCCAGGTGCTTTCTCATTTGGGAATAGAAGACAATTCTCCTTCCTCCACAGACAATGAACACGTCACTAGGATCTATCATTTTCCAAGAAAGCTTTCTTTATAAGAGGACGTGGCTTCTCTGTCGCCCACAATAAAGGGGCAAAGGACTTTCAAAAGGAGACATAAATGGTCAATAGTCATAGTAAAAACTACTCATCACTAGTTATCAGGGAATGTAAATTAAAACCACAGTGAGATATCATCTCATACCTGTTAGAATGAATATTATCAAAAAGATAACTTAAGTGCTGGGAAGGATGTGGAGACATAGGAAATTCTGCATACTATCCGTTGGTCCATAAATTAGAACGACTATTATGGGAAACAGTATGGAAGCCGTTTCAAAAAAATTTCCAAAAATTTGAAAATACAACTACTTTATGATCTAGCAATGCCACTACTATGTATATATTCAAAGGAAATAAAATCAGTATGTCAAAGAGATATCTTCACTCCCATGTTCATGGCAGTATTATTTATAATAATAAATAATATAATATAATAGCCAAGATATGGACTCAATCTAAGTGTCCATCAGCTAATGAATGGATTTTTTAAAAAGTTGTGTACACAATGGAACACTATTCAGCCATAAAAAAAAAGAAAATCCTGTCATTTGAGACAACATGGATGAACCTGGAGGACATTAAGGCAAATACCATATAGTGTCACATACATGTGGAATCTTAAAAAGTTGAATTCATAGAAGCAGGAAGTAGAGAATGGAGGTTATCAGAGGTGTACAGTGGCAGAGGGAAGGTCTCAGGGAGCTGTTAATCTAAGGATACAAAATTCAGTGGGACAAAAGAAATAAATTCAAAAGTCTGTTTGTGTGCGTGTGTACATGTGTGGTACTGTGGATTGAATCCAGGGCCTTTTTAAATTTTATCTTGAGACAGGGTCTCACCAAGTTGCCTACACTGGCCTCCAACTTATAACAAGAGATCTATTTTAAAAAGTGACCTTCGGGCAAATTTTGAAAAATGTTAATGAACTTTTCATGTTATCTTAAAGAAAAGTGAAGACTCAGTGTTTTATTTTACTTTCCAAGTGGAAAATAAAGGAACATTTTAATTCTTTCCACTGGAATTGAAAAAATAGACTATTTAAGATAAGAAAATTCTCAGGGCACATTCAGTTCAGCCCCAAACAGATCCTGACAAAATGTTCTGTGTCCCGACCCCTGTGTCTTTCTGTTGACCCAGGGAGGCACAAATAAACTCTAGCACATTTTGCTCCAAGGCCACACATCTCCGCCAGGTGATCTCGACACTAACAGCAATATTACTACAARTGTGCACTGCCACACTTAAAATTCCCTTGGTTTCCCATGCTGGTGGCGGGAATGTTGGTAGCAGACGGTCTTACCTTTGGAGACGCTGATCAGCTCCTTCACCTGCAAGATGACTGGGGTCAGGGTCCCCGTCTCATTCATTAAGGCCACATAACTCTCCAGCTTGCCTTCAAACACATCCAGCTTGTCTCTCACGAACACGAACATGCAGAACTCAATGATGATGAACTGCGGACACAGAGCAAAGGTTTCAAGGTCTCACCTGAGTTTGGATCAGCAGGGGAATAGCATATGGACTCCCTTTGGTTTTGAAATCAGCCTCTTACAGGCATTTCAGCTTCCAAAAGTGACCCTGGCTGCTTTAAAATGAATGAAACAGGAGCTGATAGAAAACTTTCCACTCTGTTCTCACCTTATAGCACACAAGACTGGGCCCCAAGGAACTCTTCAAACATTAATGGGATCAGCGTGAAGTGAATGGCTAACTTTGCGTGAAGTGAATGGCTAACTTTGAGTGAGGGTGTAGGGCAAGCCCAGATGGCTACAGTTAAGCTCCCTCGCTGAGACTTCCAGCCAGCTATGTTTTAGCGTGTAGTCAAGGTCATAAACACCCCGATTCAGCACTTTTGTTCAGATCAAAAACATCTTCTTGTGGGCACGCACTTATGTAACCTGCTGGCAATGTGCCTTCTTTGTTTGGTCTGCATATAAAAATGCATATGGAAGGACTGGTGGCTAGAGGCTCCTACTGTCTCTRAGTAGAGCATGCCTACTATCCCAACTGCACCTTGCATCTTCTTTTACCTGCATGGATGCCAAATCTGTTTCCCAGGGTCTGAGCCCCTGCAGGACAAAGGGCTGGCCTTAGGGACCGGTACAACCACCAGTCCCATTGCTCTAGCCTTCATTGATCCTGACAGGAGCCAAATAGGAGAAGGTGTTTCCATACAAATGTGCTTACCCACCAGTCTACCTTCCTATCATCGCACATTGTTTCTATGGCTCCTGCTGCAGTTTTTCTCTGCCAACCAAATCATGTTTGTCTCTGAAAGTGGAGCTCAAATGCTATCACATACAAGCAGTATCTCAATTTAGAAGAATTCACTGAACTTCCAGAGCACATTCACCTTATCCACTTTTTTATCCTAGACTAGAAGATGTCTTATATATCCATACCATGTCTTATATCCATCACTCAGAACATGAGATTCTTGGCACAGTGCTGAACATACAATAGATGCTCARTGAACACTTAAGAAATGCCATAACTCCTAGGGAGTTGTTCAATATTGAAGAGAACTCTAGGTGTCCCTGAAAATCCATTCTCCCTTCTTTGGGTACAAAGCTAGACCACATYTCCTAGCTTCTTATATTAGGTGTGGCTACATGGCCAATTTTAGCCAATGGAAGAGGACTAGAAGGGACGTGTGATACTTGCCACCCAGTCCATGAAAATTTCCTATAAGCTGAACATAGTGGCACCCACCTGTAATCCCAGCAAAYCAGGAGCCCGAGGCAGGACGATTACAAGTTAGAGGCCAGCCTCAGAAACTTAACAAAACCCTGTCTCAAAATTAAAGGAMAGAAAAGTTCTGGGGAATGTGGCCTGGTGGTTAAGCAGCCTGGGTTCCATTTCTGCTATCAAAAGAAAAAAAAAATAGAGAAAACTCCCATAGGCATTTCTCCATGCTCCTTCCTTTCTGTTGACAGCATGCAGATGTAATGAGGTCCTCAGGAAGCAGGGACACAGGATGGAAGATTACTGGGTTCCTGAATGACCGCATGGTGGATAATTACCTCTGAATACCCCCTCAGCACTGCTGTGTGGGCAAATAACGTAGAGTGTTGATCCACTGAGATTTAGGGGATTCCTGGACTTCTGCATAACCTAACATTCACTTGAAAACTTAATCACAGGATTAATTTAAATAAGGATCATCCCTATACGTAGAGACGAGCAAAAGATGATTGGCCTTTACCATTTTTATTCTATTTGACACTCTCTTGACTGTCATTTTACTTCAGATACTTTTGACCACACCAGTTTTGATTCTATAGTTAATAAACACTGAAATCAGAATCATGTCAACATTTAAAAATTTGGGGTGAGGGGCTGGGCTGTGGCTCAGTGGTAGAGCACTTGCCTCGCATGTGTGAGGCTCTTATTTCAATCCTTGGCACTACATAAAAATAAATAATGAAATAAAGGTGTTGTGTCCATCTCCAACTAAACAAGTATTTGGGGGCAAGAAAGCAAATTAAAATAAGACTTTTAAATTTCGTTCCATTTAAAAAATATAGTACCATAAACCAATTCTAGTTTATCCACTTTTATATATTTATTTATTTATTGGTACCAGGGATTGAACTCAGGGGCACTCGGCCACTRAGTCACATCCCCAGCCCTATTTTGTATTTTACTTAGACACAGGGTCTCACTGAGTTGCTTCATGCCTTGCAGTTGCTGAAGCTGGCTTTGAACTCACGATCCTCTTGCCTCAGCCTCCCAAGCTGCTGGGATTACAGGCATGTGCCACCGCACCCAGCTATCCACTTTTATTTTTAATTCACTAATAATTTGGCAGGATCAATTATTTGCTATTTAACTGATATGAATTTTGTTAACAGCACAGTTTACTAACTAGATTATATGTTTTCTTTTATTTTCATTTTTGTGGTGCAGGGGATTRAACCCAGGACCCTGGGCATCCCAGGCAAGCACTCTGMCACCGACCTACAACCTGAGCCCTAATTATAAGTTTTCTTTAGGGATCATTAATTCTACCAACTTTCCTGGGTCAAATTGTATATGAAATTATCTCAAATGTATTTTTTTCTTCCATTAATTCTTAGTTAATGATAAATTTCACCACGTGGAGTTGTAACCATATCAGTTTTATTTTGTGTGGATTCATTTTCTTAGTGATATTCACCCTGTGGGTAAACATGTCCTTTGGGAGCAAAATAGTAGCACTGAAGCCCTGTACTTCCTTGACTTACCAAGATTTGATTTTGACCCAGCTTTTCAGGAACCTACTCRACAGATTCCATGTCTCAAAGACCCCAGAACTCCAGCCCCTGCCCTGCTCCATTTATAAACTATAAAAGGATTTTCACAGAGCTACTTACAAGGTACAGGCAGATGAAAGCCAAGATGATAGTTCCAACCATTCTGCTTGGGAATTGAAAACAGGGGTCCCAGTCATATACCCTGGTTTGGAACCAAGACTTTTTTCTCTCTCTGTGAATGAATAAACACCAAGAAAAGAGACATAGGTAAAGAAATACCTGATTCTTCCAACAGTACCATCTTCTCTTTGTCTTGGAATTTAGGGTACAGAAAGAGCATTAGTAGTTTTTACTGTTTTCATAATCCCTTATCTTTTTTTAAGTTTTTTTAGATGTTGGTGGACCTTTATTTTATTCATTTATTTATATGTGGTGCTGAAAATTGAACCCAAGGCCTCACACATGCTAGACAAGTGCTCTACCACTGAGCCACAACTCCAGCCCCCATAATCCCTTATCTTTACAAAAACTGTAGGGGTTTTCTGGGTGGGGGGCAGTAATTTATTAAGCTAAATGACCAAATTCCTAGCTTCTTAGCAGTGAAGAGTGATCAGACTAAATTCAGGCCAATGCAATTTGAAAAGTGGCRGGAATGGGGGAGGGGGGCTTTGGAGAGGCTACCAGGGGTAGTTTACCACTGAACAACATTTTTAACTCTTTTTATTTTTKATTTTAAGACAGGATTTTGCTAAATTGCTCAAAGTCTCACTAAGTTGCTGAGGCTGGTCTCCAACTTGTGATCCTCCTGCCTCAGCCCAGTCGCTGGGATTACAGGTGTGTGCCACTATCCCCAGCTAGTTTGAGACTTTTATCTGCATAACTGGAAAGGAAAATTTTTCTTTCTTCTGAGCTCAAGTCAGGAGGATATAAACTTAAAAGTCTGGGAGCACCACATAGAGGAAGCCCAGCTACCTGTGAAGCCCACACAGTGACAGCCTAGCTGGGAGAAGAGTGAGGAAAAGAGACCTAGTTCTGATGATATCAATAAGCCCCTGGAGGACCGCACACAGCAGTGCACACCTGTGATCCCCAGTGGAAGGCTGAGGCAGGAGGACCACAAGTTCAAAGCCAGCCTCAGCAAAAGTGAGGCACTCAGCAAYTCAGTGAGACCCTGTCTCTAAATAAAATACAGAACAGGGCTGGGGATGTGGCTCAGTGGTYGAGTGCCCCTGAGTTCAATCCCTGGTACCAACAAAACAAAACAATACGCCCCTAGATTTGAGTCCCTCCCGATTTCTTAGCAGTGTGAACCCACTCATTTCCTTTCTTACAGATAGTTCACTTGAGGTTGTTTTCTGTAATTAGCCAACAAGAGCCCTGGCTCCTAGAGCGCCATCCCACCGGTCCCAGGGCCTGTCCCCAGGGATCTCCTCAGTGAGCCTGGGGGTGAAGGGCAGAAGCCGGCTTACCGTGGGCAGGCCTTCCTCAGGAGCTGTTTGACRTGCTCGGCCTGGTGAGCTTCCAGCAGGGGCTTTTCCTCCTGTGGGAAAGGACACAGGAAGSYACCTGTCTGGTTCGGGTTTAGGACTCTGAGGGGTTATCGCTTTTGAGGGCAGGACTCTGGGAATGCAATTTAGCCATCATTTCTGTTGATCAGGCTCTCGCTGCAGTCCTCGGCCCTCCTGCCCCCTGACTGCCAGCCACTGGGTCACTGTGTCACAGCACTGACTTCCCGAGACCTGGTGATTTCCCATCATAGTTCAAGTCCTGAATTAAGAAAGATGCACCCCAAATCCTAACACTCATTGTTGATGAAGAGGAGATTCTYTGGCTCATTGCTTACCTTTTCAGCATTTAAATAAAAGAAATTTTAGTGGTCTGGTTTGAAATGTTTTCTCCAAGGGCAGTGAGCTTCCCACAGTAGTGTGTACGTTTTCTGTACTTTGAGGGGAGATGTTMTATATCCAGGATTTGGGGTAGAGTCCAAAAGATCTGGTTAGGATCCCACTGGAGATCGGGATTTGTGTGCCTCAGACAAGCTTCGTCTCTGCTCTTGGCCCCTCMCTAGCAAATGGAGAAAATAATACCTTCCAGAAGGTCATGGTGGGGACTCAGGAAACACTCTCTACAAAGCACTTGCACAATGCCTGTCCAGGAAAAGCCCCCAACTAGTGACAGCTATTTTCTCAGGATAAAAAAAAAAAAATTCCTTTTTCCCCCCAATTTTAAGCAAAAGCATCCAAATTGGCCTTTTTTTCTCTACATTAAAAAAAGTATATATTTAGATAAAATTTATATTTTAGAAAAAAAACACTCTACYGGCAACTGTATTTGAGGGGAATCCAGGAAGACCTAACTTCCATATTCAAATATGAAACATTCTGAAGCTCTTTGTCATAGCCAGGGCACCTTAATGTCATTTTCTTTCTTGTGCTACTTTTAGGCAGATGCAAGTCTCTATGCGTGAGTCTTGTGGCCATCCACCAACACCCTGGTTCTACGTCCTTCAAGATACAATACATAATGTTGTGTCTTCTCACCCACTTGAAGGTGTGCAYGACCAAAGGGTGGCTTTGTCCAAAAATGTCTGAATGGCAAGTGACCTCATGGTGGAGACTTGAAAAGCTAGTGCATTCTTCACTATGTTTTCTTTCCCTGCTCTGTGCCAATCAGTAGCGTTCTCAGTGATGGCTCTTCCATCATCCTGGGTCACAGAGCGAAGAGAACTTGGGAGAAAGCCCCCAGCACACCTTTGATGGCCATGCAGCAATAGTGAGACGTGAGTTTTAAGCTACTGAGATCTGGAGGCTTGTTCATTACTACAGCATAACCYAGCTTGTCCTGACTGCCATGTATTCCTTTTGAAAAGATAACCAAATGACAAGAAATTTTCAAGTTAAATAAAACAAACTAGTCACAACTCCTTCAAACTCAGGAGAYGCAAAAGGCCAAAGCTGCAGCAAATGAGTCCCAGGTGTCACTAGAAACCCCAAGTTCTGATTCAACAGGAAGGTGTGGGGAGAGAAGAGGACCTATCTAACCCCAGCATGACCCCAGGCTACAGACATTTACCCCAAGCCAGAGAGGCTGTGTATGACAGGGGCTAAGAGACTGGGTTCCAATTCTGGCTCTGCCATATATTGGCTGGGTTACCTTAGGCAACTCACCTCACTTCTCTGGGTCCAAGTTTTTGAATCCAGGAAGTGAGAAGTTATAAGGGTACCCACCTCCCAGGGCTGCTGTGAGGATTAAACCTGTGGTGCACACAACCAGTACACTCACCGCGTGGGGCTCCCAGCCCAGGTGGGCCTTCAGAGCCTTGACGAACATGTGCAGGAAGCGGCCCAGCAAGAAAGCCAGGCACAGCAGGGAGGGCCAGTAGAAGAGCAGGGTCTCGTACCTCCCCACAAACTRCAAGGGAAGCAGAGCACAGGGCGCGGGCTGCAGCAGGGCAGGGCCTGGCCACCAGGGGGCGCTGTGGCCAGGGATCGGCCGGCCCAGCAGCTCCCACCAAGGCCCGCCCGCCCCGCGCTCCGAAGTCCGCGTCTAGTCCGGGTCCCGCCCGCCCGAGATGCTCCGGGAAGCCCTGGACTTGGAGTCCCGCAGCCCGGGTTGCGGGTCTTTCCACCCCCGTTTTCTTTTATGAAAACAGTGTCCGTGGCTTTTTTRTTTTTCCTGATTAGGAAATTAGATGTTCTTTTTGAAAAATATGAGAGATTGAGAGGCAGCTAGCCAGGTGGACGGYGGAGGTGGGAAGGAAGAGAGGGAGAGGGAGAAGTAGCCCCGGGGCGGGGAAGGAGGGAGGGAGRCCTAGCAGCCCTCTTGCATCTTTCTCCATTTCTGGGCCCCAGGGCTAAAGACATGAACCAGCTKCCACCAACTCTGAGAAGGACAACTCATGGCCAAGCCTGAAGTGTGCCCTAGTGGAATCCACCCATTTTATAGACAGAGAAACTGAGGCTGCACGGAATGGAAAGAAATGGAGTTTGGAGTCATCCAGACCTGACCTCAATTCCCAACTCTAGGCTTCCTATGAGTTACTTAATATGCTGGGACTCAGTTTCCTCACCTGTAAAATAGGTGTGATGAACTTCCCCACCAGGTGGGGCTGCTGTGAGACCCCTACCTGCCTGTGAACAGGCACCCTGATGACCCCTTGATGAATGAACACAAGGTGCTGCACAAATGGAAGCATCACCAGTGGTTCCAACTCCCCTTTTTTGCACATGAGGAAGTTGAGGCCCAGACAGTGACAGAGGCTTGTCCAAGGTCACACAGCAGGTAGGCCATGATGATGTGACAGTTTAAGGTCAGCAGACACTTACCTGCCCATTGGGACACTCTGAGATTTGAAGAACAGTGACAACAAACCTGTAGGAACAGAAACAGGATTTAGGGCACTGGGTTCCCTCCGAGCCCAGCCCCACCAGTAGCTYCTGTGAAAACAGCCCAGATCCCACCAGCCCAGACTTGCCTCCCACTCCTTGCCCCCAGGGAGGGCTGGTGCCTGGATCCCGTGTATATCCCTCCCCACTCAGGCACCCAGTTTGGAAGATGTGGGGAGCTCATCCTCCCGTCCCCCATCGTTCAGGTGGGACGTGGACGTCCAGAGTTGGCAAGGTCTATCCAGGGCACAGGGATGCGGGGGCAAGCCAGGACTCGGACCCAGATCTCCTGACTGGGCAGCTGAGGCTCTTCTGCCTCTCTGTGGCCTTGTCTGTAAACCCCCTCTGAAGCTGTGAGCCTGGCTCAACACACTCCCCTGGTCACGTTCAAGGTCGGGCCCCAGCCCCATGGCAGCCAAGCTGCTGAGTGATTCCCATGCTCCTGTTTCCTTGTCCAGGGTTTGTCACCGGCTAATGGAGGATAGCACTCCACAACGAATCCTGGAAGCCCTCGATTTAAATTTCTAGGAAGCACGTCACTAACAAACTTGGGATTGTGGCCGCTGGTGTGTCAGTTGCTGTGAGGCCCTGCCGGCCACCCTGGCTGATGGACCTGAGGACTTGCCCCCCTGGAAAACACTAGCAGGTTCTGGAGGGATTTGGAGGCAAGAAAATGAGCCTCCCCCTGGGAGCTGGAGAATCGTTCTTGGTGTTACTCAGTCAACAGTGTTCCCTGTTGCCAGCTCTGTGCCAGTCTGGTGCCCCATGCTGAGGGCACGGAGCCCAACAGGCAGGTGAGACAGCTGGGTGTCTGGCGGGAGCCACTGTGCATGGACAGGAGTTCATAACTACCCCTGAGCCCGGTGGAGGGCAGATGACCCACACCAGGAACAGGGACACACGGACCAAGGGCCAGAACACGGGCCCACGGCTCTGTCTTGCTTCCCCTGGCTCACGGTGGACATGTAAGAGTGGTTGCTGGGTGAGCCGGTGCAGGAGTGCAGGAGTGTGGTCTCGTGGGGTGGAGGTGTGTGCTAGACACTGCTGGGGACTGCAGAGGGAGGAAGAGGCCAGCTTCAGTGCCCCTGAATGCCAAGCAAGGGCACATGCGCTTTCTCTGAGGATCCTGAGACAAGCCATGATAGTGTTAAAGAGAAGCATCAAATGGGGTTCTCCTCTCCCCCAGGGGGACCCTTGGCAGCTTAAGTCCCCGACTTCTAGGGATATYCTAATTATGAGCAGCCTTAGGTGGGGCAGACAGAATGCTGCTCTAACCTTTGGAAGTTTCAAGTGCATCTCAAGAAGGGGGTCTCATGGGACCCTGGACAGGTCACCCCTGCCCACTCTGGGTCCCAGTTCTGGGCAAAGGTGTCCTTCAAGGGTTGCACTCAGATCACCTCCAGCCTAAGGAGTCAGGGGGTGCAGGGGAGCCGCAGAGTCCATCTTACCAGAGCAGGGAGTAGCAGAAGCCCAGGATGGAGCTGGTCAGCCGGAACTCGGACGAGAGGCAGGCGAAGAAGGGGAAGAAGGACAGGCCGACCTCGAAGCCTCCGATCAGAAGCACAAAGGCTGGCAGAGAAAAGGCCAGAGATGGTGAGCTCCCCTCCTCACCCTGGGAAGCTGCAGTGCTTGTACAGACCTCAAGTTGGGGTAAGTGGAGAAGCTCCAGGCTACACCCAAGGAGGAGCAGAGCCTGTCATTCCTGCAACAGGCCCTTCCTGGTCCTGCTCTGGGCAGGCAGGGGGCTTTCTAAAAAGATGGAGAAGATTCGATCCCTGCAGGTGATTAGCTCACAGTATGACAGGTGAAGACAGACCACAGAAAGACACTCACAAAAACTACGAGAATACAGTACCACAAGTGCTCAGTAGCAACACAGAGGGACATGTGTGTACACTACAGCACACCCTCTATATACAGGGCCTGCCACTCCCCAGCTCTGAGATGTTCTAACAGGATCTAGGAGAATCCATTCATGTAGGAGGACCTGTACTAARTGTCTACTCTGAGCTGGGTCCTGGGAGAGGCTCCGAGGACCTAAGAAGAAAAGGTATCAAAGCTCCAAATGTGAAAAAAAAAAAACAAAAAAAAAAACTAGGAGAAATCTATATGACCTTAGTTTAGGCAAGAATTTCCTAAATGACACCATAAGTATGATCCATAAAAGAAAAACAGAGTCGATTAGATTTCATCAAAATTAAAGGGGTCAGCCTTTCAAAAGTCTGTTAGGAGGATGAGAGTACAAGCCACAGATGGGAGAAAACATTTTCAATTCATGTATCGGATAATAGACTTATACCTGGAATATATGAAGAACTCCCTGAATTCAATAAGAAAACAGAAATCCCAATTTTCAAAACTAGGTAAGTGAYTTGGACAGAATCATTGTTATTAAACCTTTATCAACGAGGATATAAGAACAGCAAATAAGCACATGAAAATACTCTCAGCACCATTACTATGAAAATGCAAAGGAGTACCACCATGAGGTGCCATTACATACCACGCAGAATGGCTAAAAATAAAGATTGGCCATACCAAGAGCTGATGTAGGAATTCTACAATTAATATACCATGGTGGCCATCTAAAAATGGTTACAATGACTTTGAAAAACAGTTACATGGTTTCTTAAAAAGCATGATCTACTGTATGATCTATAAGACCCAGCCCTTCCATTCATAGATATTTACCTGAGGAAAATGGAAACATGGACAGATTCCAAGACTTGTACACAAACGTTTTGTTAGCAGCTTTATTTGCAATAGCCAATAAGTGGAAATAAATCAGATGTTCATCAACAGGTCAGTGGATCGACTGTGATAGGTAGTGAAATATGCTCAGCAATAAAAAAAAAGATGAACTATTGATGAATGCTAAACATGTGTGAATTGCAAAATAATTATGCTAGGTGAAGGAAGCCAGGTCAAAAAAAGAAAAGAAAGGGCATTCCAGATGATTCCATTTATACAAAATCCTGGGAAACTCAAACTAAGCAGGTAGGTGGCTTCTTGGAGATGGAGCAGTGACAGGAGGCCACAGGGAATCAGGTCACAAAGGGGAATAAGGAAACTTCTGGGATCCCTTATCTTGATTTTGGCATTGGATTCATGGGTATAAATAAATATTGGTCAAAACTTCTCAAATTGGGTACACTGACAGGTGTCCAGTGAGATGCCGTTTGAGTTCTGAAGATGGACGAGAGCCTGGTAGGCATTTGATCTTTTAAGTTAGAGCCCCCGAGAGGGAAATGGGCTGGGCAGAGAGTTCGGGAACTGTCTAGGAAATCCCTGAACCTGTAAATTAGACCCGCTCCTTCAGATGGAGCAGGAGGCGGGAGGTAGGGGTGGATGGGGAGCTGAGCCAGTGGCCCAAGGAGCAAACGTTATGCTTTGAGGAGGAATCCCAGGCCTGTTGATAACCAGAGGCAGCGAGGCTGGGACTCAGGAGAGCAGCCGGGTGTAGGGGGGGACGATCCCTCTTCCTGCTCCCTTGTTACTTCACGTCTAAAGGGTCTCTGAACCTCGCAGGGGAAAGCCCCACAAACCAGGTTTAAGGCTTTGTGGGTTAGGTCTTGACCCTGGGCGAGTCACAGGCCGGGAAGAACATGGCAGTTCACAATGTTAACCCCCTGTCCCCAGAGAACCCCTGGGGCCCCCGATAGCAAGAATGTCCATGGTGAAGTCCCAGCAGGAGTGAGGCGGCCTGTACCTTGGGCCCACTGCGGGACCTGCAGGGGCTGGTAGCCTTCTGAGAACAAGAACATGATCTTATTGGCTGTGGCCCCAAAGGCGATTCCATAGGACCACCGGTTACTGAAAGTCCCCACRAAGTCCAGAGGCCTGCAGACAACAGAAGCAGCTCATGAGGACAGAAGATGACTCTGAGACACTCCCACAGATCGTTTCCAAAGTAGCCATCTCATCTGGAAGAGGGATGATTGGAGAGTAAATTCTTCATTATAACCGAAACACAACCCTCAGAGCTAGTCCCCCRCCCTGCAGCTAGACACAGACTCCAGAGACTGAAGTGAGGAAGACAAAATTCTTTCCCTAGAGGAGCTCCAAGTTCAGTAGGGGACACAGCAAGGACACTAGTAGCCACAACATAAGGCAAAACGAGACACGTGTGGTCTAGGAGACACAGACTGTATGACTTACATGGTAGAACAATAAACGTGTCTTATACAGGTTTTGGGGAACCTTCCCTGGACCCAAATATGTCCTATGAGAATTCTCTCTTCAGTGTATCTGATGGGGTCTGGGTATCTCTGGCCACCTTGGTGCCAGGTGATTGAAGGAACTAAGCCTGTACCACTCTAGCCCATTAATTATTTTGAGTTAAATACACTTTTAAACCTGAAGGTACAAGAATATTAACTCTGACCTTCATGTTGCTACTTCAACACAGGAGGTGAAATTCCCACATGAAATTTCCCTCTCTATAGGAGGAAAATAGCATTCTTATCATAAAGATGAGAATTTGAGATTGGAGAATTTTGTACTGAACTAATTAACATAACTCTAATCTTCACATCATTTAGTTACTTTTCCACAATGTGTTACTTTGGATCCAATTCAATATATCCATGTTCCACTTTAGCTGTCTCTGTGGACTTTCATTTACTTAGGAGGGCTCCTGTGTCACGTAAAATTTATGTTGAATAAATGTGCATGCTTTTGTCCTGTGGATCTCTTTTATGTCAACTTAATTCTGGGACCCAGCTGAATCACCTTAAGAGGGTAAAGAGAAAAATTTGCCTTCCCTATACGACCATACCTTCCTGGCCACAGTGGACAGGGTCACCGCCTGACTTTGGGTGAGCCGGGTGGATGCCTGTTCTTGTATTTGGATTTGTGGCCCTTGGGCTATGAGCAAATAGGTTGTTAAAGTCCTAGTTTGGAAAGTCACATCAAGTTGGGATCAGAGTCAATGCCACACAGAGATCCTAAGTCAGAGATCCTAGCTACCAGAGAGGAACACAGCAAAATAATGCTGAGGGGCCCTGTGACACAGGGCAGAAAGACAAAGAGTCAATCTCCTATAGGTTCCCAGCTCTAGAGACCAGTTCTCATTAGGCCACTCTGGTTTCTGTGAATTTTTTTATTTTCAAATTTTTTATTTTCTTTTCCTGAAACTAAGCTTGAATGCATGTCTGTCTCTTCCAGCCAGGAGAGTTTGGTCTAGACCAGAGAAAACAACTCCAGCTATAAACTATCAACTCCTCTGGGGCGGGACCTAGCCCAGGACCTTGGAGAAGGGTCCATACCCAGTGCAGGTTTTCAGATGTGCATGTTGTTGAACTGAATTGCATTCCAATCAAGATGCCACTGACAGTACTTATAAGCAATGTGAGAATCAGTTTCCCCATCTTTAAAACAGGGATGGACACCCCATTCTGCTCACTAGAGTGCCACTGTGGAGAGCAAATGGTAATCTGTGGAGGGCCAACTGCACATGGAGTTACTGTTCAGTAAAGATGGAGGCAAACATCATGAAAAAAAGTAGGATGGGAAAGCKGCCAGGAGCAAGTCAAATGTGCCCTGGTCAATTTAATTCAGAGAAGTTTAATACAATTACTGTGGGATTCCTATTTCTTACCAAGTCCTGCACCAGCCCTTTCATGTCAAATGCCAGGGGTGGGGTCTGAGATCTTTACCCATCAATCTCAGCTTTGCCTCCACCAGTGTGGCTTACACCTGGCGCTGTGGGAGGGGTCAAATGTCCCAGGGAGTGTCCACAACTCCTCTAGCTGCTGCTCAGAGCTGGTGTGCAGTGCCCTTGGACTTGGTGTTGGATTTTCCCTCTCTGCATCTCAGGTCAACCTCAGCCTCAGTCCTGAAATTCTGACTTTCTCTTCCTTCTCCAGAGCCCAGCGATGAGATCTTGGGATGTCTCTAGCTTGAACCTGCTCACSTTGACACTGGGAGAAAGGAAAAAATACCAAACCAGTCTGGGTTAAAGCTCCTGTCACTTGTATCTCTGTGGCCTTGGGCAAGTCATTTAATCTGAGTCTGAGTTTTCTTATCCATGGTATGAGGACAACAGCCTCCATGACACTATATTGGCAAAAGAGGGTTTAGGAAACTAATGCAAGGCAAGTGGCTTAGGGCCCGGGTCACAAACAGGGTGCCATGAATGTTAACTGCATGACAGTGATGATGATGGTGATGGTGATGGTGATGGTGATGGTGATGATGATGATGATGGTGGAGGTGATGATGGTAATGGTGATGATGGTAGTGACGATGATGATGATGATGGTGATGGTGATGATGACAATGGTGATGGTGATGTTGGTAATGGTGATGATGATGATGGTGACGGTGTTAGTGATTATAATGGTGATGGTGAATATGATGGTGGTGGTGATGATGATGATGTGATGGTGATGGCAATGGTAATAACTGAGGATAATGGGGCAAATAGAACTCAAGAAAAAATATGATCAGGAACACAGCAACTCAGAATGGCAGAACTAGAAAGGACCTGAAAGCTCCCCTGGTGTGTGGAAGGTAGAGAGGAAACAGGAAAACAAAGGTGRGCATCACATGGAAACCAAAGGGGGATCAGTGGAGTAGTGGAAAGGGGCTATTTACTGAAATATAACCCTTCCTGTGCCTGCARCACTTCACAGCTTATAAAGCAATTCTTYATTTGCTCTCTATATTGACMCTGTGATGAGCAGAATAGGGGTGTCCATCTGAGTTAAAGATGGGGAAACTGAGTCTCACGTGGGTTGTACGTACTGCCAGTGGCGTCTTGATTAGGATGCAATTCAATTCAACAACTTGCACATCTGAAAACCTGCACTGGGCGTGGACTCTTTCCAACACTGGGGAATGATATTGGCCAAGTCATGTTGTTATATTTTGTGCATGTAACAAATACRTAACAATGAACCCCRCCATTAKGGACAGTCAYCATGCACCAATAAAAAAAATACAGAGGGGGAAAATTAAAGGAAGCTCCCCGGTGCAGCAAGATCTGGCACACAACTCATGGCACCATCCGCCAGGAAGACTCCCTCCCAGTCACAGGGAACGCTCTTCCTCCTGTTCCCGAGGTGGCCACACCTTCCACGTGGGAAGGCCTTTTCCACAGGGGTCCGAGTCCTCTTAGTCTCCTCCCTGCAGATCTCAGCACCCAGGGCTKCGATGGCTTAGAAGTGGATTCTCATCTCTCGGGTTGTTGTTTGGATTGGGGAAGGGACACACAGGACTGTGCATGGATCCTGGGAGCTACCTGGCCTCAAGTTGACATTGGTCACAACTAGAGAGTACCCCCAGCTATAGGGGCTGACCCCGACTCAACTCACACGATGATTCCAAAGTGGTTTCCCAGGAGGTAGGAGGTGTCGTCTGTCTGTCTACAGTGCTCTCGTCTTTGTAGGAGGGACAAGACCAAAATGATGAAAAGCTGTAGAAGAGAAGATGGAGAGTCAGTGGGACCTGTTCATCTTCAGCTGGCCCTCAGTGTTCCCACTGAAAGAGGGTGTGTGGCTGAGCCCAGCATGCAGAGTGTCCCTGTCACCTCACACTGCAGAGTCAAGGGTCTGACTTTGTGGCCCTGAGCTACCAGATGTTTTGCACTGAGCTTTCTTTTGTGTTGCCCTGAGCAGATGTGGGTTCCAACCTGGTTTCTCCCACACACTGGCTTGAAGGGAGACTTGACTTCCCTGAACCTCAGTCTCTTCATCTGTGAAAAGGCAGTGGTGACTGTCAGGGATTTGCTCTGAGGATTTGGTCATGTCCTCATACATGGAACATGTTCTCATGTTCCAAAGCTCATAACTATACAACAATCACACATTCGGTATTTCTTTGTAAGAAKCATCTCAAATTCAGTGGGTCTTAAATGGAACTCATGATATTCTTCTCCCTGCCTTGTGGTTTCATCCGCCCCAAACCTGGATCTCTTCTAATTTTCCATAACTAGTGAATGGCAGCTGCCACCACCCTTCCAGTGTGCAAGTAAAACCCAGGAGTCATCCTCAACCTCTGCTCACTCTAACCTCCCTCCCCCACCCATGAGCAGGTCCTCTTACTCCCAACATCTCAAGTTGTCCACCCTCATCTAGGAGGACCTAAGCTGCCCTCCCTGAGCCCCACAACAGAGCCCAGCCTCCTCTCCACACTGCAACCAGAGTGAGCTTTAAAAACACAGATCTGACCATGCCACCCTCATGCTGAAAACCCCTCACTTATTTCCCTTGTCCTCTGATTGACGACAGAACTCAACAGAGAGCCCCACAGAGCCGTGCCTGGCTGGGCCCTGCCCTGCTCCCCAGACTCCTCCACTGGGCTCCCCACTCCTGGCCTTCTCAGCTCCTCACGCTCTCCATCTCCTCTCTCCTCCACAGGGCCTTTGCACGGGCTCCCTCGTCTGTCCGGAATATTAGTTACTGCATCTTCCAACAGACCTCGGCTCGGGCACTACTTCCTTAGAAAAGCCCCTCACTCTTTTTTAATCCCCTAAAAGCTGGTATCACTAACGGTTGAATTCTTAACATGTTTCTTCTATGAGATTGGTGCATAACATAAGAAACTGAATGAAGGCTTTAGAAGAAACTCTGCTGATGTCCCTCCCCTGAGCTGTCAGCCCTCTGAGGGCCTGTGTCACACAGCCACCCAACTCCTCTCCCCTCTTCGTCCCTCCCCGGGCTTTACTTACTGATGGGATGAGGGAGTAATGGAGAAAGAGCTCCATGTCCACTGAGCTKGTGCAGGTGCCATTTAGCTGCCTGGTCCTGAAAAGGGCCAAAAACCACATCGTCAATCACTGCTACAGACTCCTCAGCCTTGAACGTCCCCAACAGGAGTTTGGCTTGTTGCCCACGAAGACCACCTGATCTTTTAAAATTTTGCTTTCTCTGAGTCAGGGATGCCCCTTTGTGGTGTGTCTTCCCTAAATGGATTAATTTTCTTTCATATTTCTTTCTCCAGCTTGATGATTTATCCAATTTCCCTGGTAACCGAAATGAATTCCTTCTTTTATTGATGACACAAACAGGGACAGATTCAGGTTATGTGAGCCCCAAAATATGTAATCTGGGTGTTCTTTTAAAATATAACTACAAAAAGATCTTACATTTTCACATATGACCACGTAGAAACTTAACTAGGGTCCCTCCACCTTCCCAGAGCCTTGGAAGTGTACAAACAAGGAGACCTGAGACTGAATCATCACTAGCTTCCCAGAAAATCTGTTTGTGGACATGGTTTTCCATGGTCAAGGTCAAGAAGCACAAGCTGGGCTGTTGGGGCAGGAGAGAGGCTATTGGACTGCACCACAGACTGGCCTCTCTGGTTCTCAGTGTCAGCAGGTTGGGTGGTGGGGCTCSTGTCTGAGATACACGGACACAGTGGCATGACTTTTTCTTTTTTGGTACTGGAGACTGAACCCAGAGGTGCTTTACCACTAAGTTACTTCCCCAGCCCTTTTAATGTTTTATTTTGAGAAAGGATCTCCCTAACTTGCCCAGGCTGACCTTGAACTTGAGATCTTCCCACCTCAGCCTCCTGAGCAGATGGGATTACAGGCATGCACCTAAACACTCAATTTCATGGCTTCTTTGTGAGAGAGATTCCCTCCTTCCTGGGGTTCCCACTGTACTCTGTTCTGCTGCTCTGACTTCACAACACCCCCAAAGCCCACTCTATTGCATCTTTACTCCTGCCATCCCTGATCCCTGCGGCATCCACCCAGCCATCTCCTGGGCTTCCTTCCCAGGCAGTGACTACTGTCCCCTCCAAAGCCTCAGGGAAGAGCACTCCTCCAGGATCCCATGAGGTGACAGAGTCCCCATAATTCTAAAACATCCAGTAAATGGTGRGGTGGAGGTGGGTGAGACTCAAGCTGTCGGAAATGTAATGGAACTGTCATGGGACTTCTGCTCTTAGGAAGGTGAGCTGAGCCCATGCCCCAGTCTCCCCACTCCATGTGAACCCTCAAAGCGGAAGGCAGGCAGGCAGGCAGGCAGTTAGGTTTCCAAGCAAGAGAGAGATCTACCAGGGACACAGAAAGTGCTAGAAAACAGTGGGGAGCAATTAGGACTCTAGCAGAGAGAAAAGGCGCCACCCAACATGACCACAGACCGTGGGCCACGCAGGAAGGCTCCATGCCCACAGCAATGAGGGGGAGCAGAACTGGGTGGCAGCAGAGCACAGTGATGGATGGGGTCTTCTGAAGACAGCAGTAGTCAGGATTCCCAGGTAACAAGGCAAAATGGATCTGTGCCGAAGGAGAAGGATTTAAARGCAACCGTCATCAAAGAAGTTAGTAAAACACTGTTAAAGATCTAAATAAGTAATTATCAGCAGGGCATCATGGCACACACCTGTAATCCCAGCTGCTAGAAGGCTGATGCAGGAGGATCTTAGCGAGGCCTTAAGCAAATTATAGAATAATTTGTCTCTAAATAAAATATTTTTTAAAAGGCCTGGGGATGTGGCTCAGTGGTTAAGCACCCCTGAGTTCAATACCCAGCACATATATAGAGAATGTGAACCATTATATTAAAAAGTATGTATGAGAGAAAAATTCAATCTCCCCAACAAATGACCAAGAAGAGGAGAAAATGAAGATAAAAAGAGACCCACCATGAGGACATAGAGATCCAAAGACTAGTAAGCCACCAACAGAGGAAAAACCACAAATAGTTTTAAATACTTAAAATTTAAAATGGGCAAATGATCTGAATTGTCATTTCTCCAAAGAAGACATATAAATGGCTACCAGCTACATGAAAGTGCTAAACATCACTAATTGCCAGGGAAACACAAATCCAAACCACAGTGAGGTGTTAGCCCCCCTCATTAGATTGGCTATGATCAAAAAGACAACAAATGACAAATGCTGGCGAGGATGAGGAGGAAAGAGAAGGCTTTACGGTGTTGGTGGAAATGCACATTTGTACAGCTGAGAGAGGAAAACAGTAGTAGGTTCCTCCAAACAGTAATACAGAACTCTCATGGGACCCAGCAACCCCACTGCTGGTGACACATCGAAAGGAAAGGAATTTAGGGCTGGGGATATAGCTCCGTGGTGGAGCACTTGCCCAGCACACACAAGGCCCTGGGTCCCAACCACAGCACCAAAATATAAAGAAAGAAATTCAGAGTGTATGGCAGAGACATCTGCAATCCATGATCATTGCACTGCTGTTCAAAATGGGCCAGATATGGAAGCAGCCCAGGTGTCCACTGGCAGATGAATGGGTAAAGAAAATAGGGTGCATATACACAATGGAGTACCATCCAGCCACAGAAAAGACTGAAATCCTGCCATCTGCAGCAACATGGATGAGCCTGGGGAACGTTGGAAGTCAGGCACAGACGGAGCAATGCCGCATGATCCCATTCGTATGTGAAAGCTAAAGCAGCTAAACTCACAGAAGTTCAGGTCTAAGGAGCAGAGTTGGATAGAGAGACATAGGTTAACGGCTGCAAAAGTACAGTAGGATAGGAGGAATCCGTTCTAGTATTATATAGCACAGAAGGGTGACTATAGCTAAAATAACTTGTTGAATATTTCAGAATTGCCAGAAGAGAAGATTTTGAATGTTCCTAACATTCAGGATAAATGTTTCGTAGACAGTKGATAAATGTTTGAGGGGACTGATTTATCTGTCCTGATTTATCACTACACATTGTACATGCATGGAAATATTCCACTGTGTACCACAAATGCTTACAATTATTATATGTCAATTAAATAGTAAAAAATGAAAAATAAATAAATATCTAGAATTCAACTAGTCATGAAATAAAAAGTTAAGATGAAATGCCACCTGATCTATGAAATTGGGAACTATCGTAAATAGTTACCCAGCAATATTGAAAGTTAAGACAATTAGTATTTATTTACTGGGGGTCAGAGTGTACATTGGTCTAGCCATTCTGAGGATTTGTTTTGCAATATGTACCAAGAATCTTTAAGAAACAACAATTCCATTTCCAGAAATTCTACTTTTAAGAAACATCAGCTAAGGACATAATCTGAGAAAGTGTTTGAAGGTGTGAACTGGAAGACTAAGGGCTCTCTCTTCCTCCCTCTCTCATATGTGTGCATAAAATGTTAAATGTAACATAGGCTCATTGCAAAACCTTCAATATATCTGCAAGTATATAAAGTAGTAAATGAAAATCTTTTCTCCTTCCAAAATTATGTTTCTAACCTACTTTGTTTTTTAAGCAAAAAACCAGAATCAGACTAAACTTGATTTTTCATTTAATAAATAAAGGAAATCATTCATGCCACTATGTAGAGACTCATCTAATTTTTTTTTTTTGATGGGTGACCTTGCCTGGACAGATTTACGGCTGGGCCTGTCTCCTGCGTAGAGGGGCTAAGTCAGGAGTTAGACTTGTGGAGTCTTAGCGCCTGGTTTGTTCAGAAGAGGTCTACAAGTAGCTCTCCAGGAGTCCAGAGCTGCAGAATCTGATCCCCTGACTCACCTCGCAGCCCAGCAGCCACTGTGGTGCACAGAATCCACACGTGCTGGAGTCAACACAAGGGAGAAGGCCCCTGAGTCCATTTCTCATATGCTTCCTGGTGAGCCCAGGGTTGCCCCAGTGGGCTTATTGAAGTTACTGGGCAGTGGCCAAATGCCACTCTACAAGATCTGCCTAACACTGAGAGTGGCTTGAAAAAGTGCTTATGAAAAAATGTAAAGATTATAAAATAATACATTCCCGGGTTGAGAGTGGTCATCTCTGGTGGTGGGATTGGAGGCCGTTCTGCTTTCTTTTTCTTAATGCTTTTCTGAATTTCCCCCTAAAATACAACAGAGATGTTTGGCTCGACGGCTGCGTATCTATCCGAGGGCATAAAGCAGCGGCTAGCACAGAGTAGGTAGCAAAGAACACGCGTGGAATTTGCAAGTGGGAAGGACTGAATGCTGCCCAAAGAATGGAAGGCCATTCTGATGGGAAACTGTCCGTGAAATCAGTGGTAAGTGATGTGACATGGGCAAGGTTTGCCCTAGGACACAGCAAAATGTACAAATCTTTCATCAAAGTTAAAGAAATGGGGGTCAGGCTGCGAATTGACATGTATCTTCGTACATCCAGAACATAGTCACCTGTACTCCCATCTCCTCTCTCCAACACCCCAGCGTGGATTGTCTCCTGGGGGTGGAGGGTCCTCCACAATCCTGCTTCCGTCGGTGCTAACATGTAGTAATATGATAAACCCATGATAGATAGCCTCCATTGACTAACGTCACTCTATTGTGTGTCCCTCTGTCCTAGGCACTCCACTCTGTATTAACTAATTTAATCTTTATAAGAATCTTGCAGGGCAGGCTGTATTAGCCCCTTTTTAAAATGAGGAACTGAAAACCAGGAGGAGGCGAGGTTAGAGCCAGTGTCCCTGCAGTCACCCACCTCCCTGCCCCAGTTCCCAGAGTTCCCTGGCCGTCCAGGCAGCTGTTGACCCATCAGTGACCCTGAGTCTAGTCCGGAGCCCATTAAGCAGAGTCTGAGAAGATGTTTATTAATGTTTATTATGTTTCTGTGGAAACCTCCCTCAGGAAGCTGAGGCCAGAAAGAGGCAGTGACCAGGGAATGTCACATAGCCCAGGACCAGTTCAGGCTCCCGTCAGCAGGCTCAGTGGGCAGGGTGCTGACCACCTCATGGGTAGCAGAAAGGATGTTTGGTACAGAGGAGGGACAGGGGAGGAGGAAGAGGTGGGTACAGTGTGTCTGCATGTGTATGTGCATCCACGTGTGTGTGTCTGTGTGTCCG